GTACAACGTTAGGTATGGATATTAACCACGGACAACCTTCACTAGTCCGTGGTTAATGTCTATACTTATTATAGTATACTTATGTAAAATAGATTGTATATAATATAGTTATTTAAAAAAAAGATTAAAATGAGGCTTTTTTTAATTTTTCAAAAATTTCTTAGTCCCTATGTATCCACCACTAGTTTGAACCATGATTAAATAAAAAAGGGTAATTAACATAACACAATGCCGTCTAAATTTTTGTAATATTTGCATAATAATCATTTTTAGTTCACTGCTGGTCTCCCTTATAGACTGCATCGAAGCACAAACCTAAGCCACCTGCATGCATCGACTTTCCCGCACTTTTGCACTCGTAGTCACTCCATCTATTGGGTGTCATCCTACACTGCGATGGCCAATACGAGGCTGCCACATTTATTCCGCGGTCATCGGTAGCACTCTCTCACCTGATCCAGTTCTCCCTCATCGGCGAACGGAACCCAGACCGGCATGCGAGTTTTGGTTTTTTTTTGGGCTGGATGAGCCACTGTTGGCCTCAGGGGCCTTCACAGATCCGACGGACTTGAGGTGGCCTGGCGAACGGGGTGCCTAGCCTGAACCTCGGTAGAGTTTTGGGACCGTATCAACGCCGGGAGGTTACACAAATCGGCCAAGTGCGTATTGGACTCGCGCACGAAGGGTTCCGTACCATTATCAATCAAAACGGCAAAAAAATCATGTCCGTTGTATGGGAGCCCCGCTTAAATATTTTCTTTATTCTGATTTCTTGTATTTTTTTTTCAGCGGCAACAGAAGTACATCATCTGTGATTATTACAACTGTCTAACTGTGTAACTAGGAAGGACAGTTAAAGAGACAGGCAGAAAGCGAAATCTTAGTAACACGGTCTCGTTTTACCCTTATGGTAAGGAACCCAAAAAAAACGAAACTATTGCGGTTTTAGAATATGGCGAGCATCGCATCGATATATCAATCGAACGTTCGCTTATTCTAAACAAAACATTTTCCAATAAATCGTACTAGTTGTAACTGTATAAGTTGCCAATAATGCCAATAAGCCATTGCCACTTCAGTTTACCAATCTTCTGAGCTATGTCGGTTACCTTGGTGCTGCGTAACATTAACATTTTAACGTTGTAACACTTTGGTTTATAACAACTCCGTGCTTAGACTCGCTTTTAATTTCTTATAGAGCAAGCAAGATCAAAACAAAGTACATATAATCTTCTGATCAAGTATATGCCAATTGGTACAGGACCAGGTTGTAATTTGAATATTCCGAGATGAATTTCTTGATGCATTGATTGTTCGCCTTTTATTTCCATGTCTATATTTGTACACTACTTTACTTTGCTATAATGCAAGCGCAAACTCAGAAGTATTACTCGGATAGCCTTGATCCAAGAATATAATATACGTATTTTAATTTGGGCTCAGAAGTTACTAAGAATATACTTTATATTCTTCCTTGTTATCAAGGCTCGTGGAAGCACCTAATTAGTCCCAACAGTCATTACGAAGGTTGTTTAACCGCGGTAAAAGGTTAAAAATAATATAAAGCCAATTATAATTTATTAAACGTACCTAAGCAAAAAAAACGTTAATCATAATGTGTATAAGTAAAACGTAAAAACTTGTAATGGAATAAGTCAATGTTGCCAGCTAAAGCCCACCATTCTGTTAGAAAAGCTTGCAATGTCTTTACACTATTTAAATGTAGAATTGGCCGGAATTTTGAGGTCGCATGTTTCCTGAGATTTCTTTAAATATCTTTGAAATGTAGTAGGGCCACGCAGCAACCTCGGCTGTTGCACGAATGGGCAGGCTCGTCCGGGTAAGTACCACGACATCACAAAACCCCGGTGTAAAGTGAAAGTATAATACTTTCGCGTTTCGTCTGGTGAGTGAGGTAGCCGGAGCCCAATTGTCAAAAAGGTTGTCAACGCATTTGCCAAATCCTCGGGTGTAGCAGATGTCCATGGGCGGTGGTATTCAATTAAAATCAGGTGAACCATCTGCTCGCTTAGCAAGTTTTAACATTTAAATAAATATGGGTCTGTGATATTCGGCAATTTCCATTAATCAGGTGTTTAGTGAAAATTCCTTTCTCGTACCTTTTTTTCATGCCCCACAGCCGGCTTGCAGTACACTTTTTCACTTCGTCTGGAGAGTAAGGTAGCCGGGAGCTACACTGAAAGATTCGCTAAGCATCTTTGCAACGCCACATGTAGATTACCTTTGATGCTTGTATAGTGACCCGCTTCAACCACTTTTTTTTTATGTGAAAAGTTGCCAAACGAGCAGACGGCTCACCTGATGGTAAGTGAATACCGCCGCCCATGGACATTTGCCACACCCGAGGGTTATAGATGCGTTGACAACCTTTTGAAAATTGGGCTCCGGCTACCTCGCTCACCAGACGAAACGCGAAAGTATTTGTCATACTTGCCATACTTGCCATCTTCTTACAAAAAAAATACTTATTGGAAGTTTTCTAAATAACCTTATAACTAGATGCAAATCTAGATAAGCTAAATGTGGTTGAGCAATAACTGTTGCACGAATTGGCCAGCTAAAACGCAGAGGTACTTAGACAGGATGAGCGTAAAGTAAAAGTATACTTATAACTTTGCGTTGCGACCACGAAGTGATGTCAAGTTCCAGTCATTACTAAAACGACCAACATCTCTAGCGCTGTGAGTGTTACTAAAACGTGTATTACTAAAACGACCAACATCTCTAGCGCTGGAAAAAGAAATCTCAGGCATGACGATGTTAGCGGAAAGTCTGTGGTAGTTCCACGAAGCAGGAATGGCCAGAATCGTCCGAGACGTACCACGGCCTCACTGAAGATCGGCGTGAAGTGGAAATATTATATTGTCTTTGCTTCCGGCGAAGGGATAGCCGGGGCCCACATTTTTTAATGGTTGCCAACGCAACTGCAATGAAACCCAATATTATAGATGTCCATGGGCGGCGGTAATCACTTAACATAAGATGAACCTGTTCAATTGCAGACTTTTCTCGAAAAAGAAAAAACATCACCATTTATTAACTTTAAAAAAATAAATCTTTAATTACCAAATACTTTTTGTCGTAATTTACTATTTCAGTAAATTTCTTGCTTTCAAAACAAATCTAAATACGGTCGGCTAGTTGTAGTTATTCTATTGTGGTATTAATTTAGGACGTAAAGGGTCAAAAAAACGAATACATTAGTGCACTCCGCCGAGGTCAATACCTGCATTTTGCAATAGTGAGTTGTTTTGTCCAAAATAAATTGAGAACTGCTTTTACTTTATAAATACAGATTTATACAAACACTAGCGAACCGGGTAGATATTGTCCTGTACACACGACGTAAATCCGACAACTTAGAAAACAAATTGTGAATCTAAACCATTCTCCAATCGAATTGAAGACATACAGAAAATTCCCCTAAAATCGGTCCAGCCGTTTAGGAGGAATTCAGTAACATACACACGTACAGTACAATTATATATATAAGATAAATGCTTAAACATACTCCACAGTATATAATGTATTGTGTGTTTAATTTCCTAAAAGGTTGTCAACGCATCTGCAAACCCTCGGGTGTAGATGTCCATGGGCGGCGGTATTCACTTAACATCAGGTGAACCGTCTGCTCGTTTGGCAACTTTTCACATAAAAAAAAGAACAAAAACGTTCCTCGTGGAACTCTGTCAACTGTACCACCAGTAAGTCTTTCTTCGTCTTTTCCACGTATCCAAAGCATTTATATAATTACATGTAGAAAATGTGTTTACTCTGTGTTCTTTCAATAATACTCTACGAATATTTCAAGTAATAGGAATGGATTATGTAATTATATGGTAGTTTTTTTTTAGCAGTCGACCCTTATGTCGGCAAGAAAACGATACTTCTATAGCCATATCCGCTTAAGAAATTTAATTATCAATTAGTTTAGCAGTTGTTGCTAATGTACACTTTTTCTAAATAAATGACTCTTTATTAAATATTATTATTGTTATTACATCCTTTTCAGGTTTGGAATAAGAATTTGAATGGGTGTTGATTCTACGGAGATTTAGATTAGACAGTCAGCCCATTTTGTCAAATTATCTATTATATAGGTATAAAAGATCAACAGCGGTATACGGATATCCAAGTTTAATTTCCTCACTTATGATGATATATTTTTATATTTGTGAATTAGTTAATGCCTGCAAAAATCGTATGAGTTTTAGGTATTTCTCTATATATAACAACTTTCATATTGAAAGAATGTATGTACGAGTACGATATAGTTTTCTTAGGCGAATACAACGAAACTTTTTAATATAATCAATTCCGAAAGAAACTGGTTCCTTTGCACCTTATTTAAAAGCTAAATTAACTTTTAAATTTCGCGTTCTGTTTTTTAACTTGTCTATGGCGTACGGACGTGGCCAATGCTCCGCTACGGTTCATGACCAACGACACCCGAATACCCATTATTCAAATTAAGAAAGTCTCTGAAATCAAATTAAAATAATTATGTAAATTTTTTTTTACAGTGTCTTGCTTTTCTTGCTATGACCAAAGACAACAAAACCTGCTGCTATTAGCATTTAGAGCCTTTACTCTAAACTAAATGTCTCATAAACAATTTACACTTTGTGCTCATTAATTTTCGATCTTCGTGGAGTTTAGAATATCTATGTTGGGACCATTGGCGCATTTAGGGTTATTTTTCAGGATGGGGAAAATCGAACACTGTGCGTCGCATTATAAAAGTAACAGTTCATCAGCGTTAATAATTTTTATTAATTTATAATAGTAGTATTAACTAATTAATAGTTAGTATGTTATGTAAAGTCGTTTAGTAAAAGTGAATCAACGTAGTGTATTATAATAAAAACTAAGTATGTACATAGATTTCTCGGCTATAGATAATTATTTGATTTCAATAATTTTTTGTGAAGTTTCTTAGGGATCCAGCCTAGAATTTCGAATCAGTAACCAAAACCGTGATGGCACTATATGATACTGGGGTCGGCACGGCCCACCTGGCCCCCCTACTCTATAAGACTATGGTTAGGACATGCAGTGATGACCGAATGGCTGTGCAGGACCTGCTGTCTGAAGGTCACATATTCAAATGCAAATTTTCCTATTTTATCATTTCCAAACGCGATGAAATGTAATCAGTGTTAAATCTCCCTTTCTGGTTAGAAGATCGTCCACTTCCTCCCTAAACAAGTAACCACTTTTTTATTATTATATTTTAACGTCTTCAGGATATACACCATATATGTAGTCTTAACTCTAATGTAGACCCTCATTTCATTCTAAATTACCCCTTGTCAAAAACGGAAAAGCTAGGCCTTGCAGATACACATGCACATACCGTGACCACAGATCGTATACTATTAAAATGATTTGATTTTTTTTTACGTGAAAAGTTGCCAAGCGAGCAGACGGTTCACCTGATGTTAAGTGAATACCGCCGCTCATGGACATCCACTACACCCGAGGGTTGTAGATGCATTGACAACCTTTTGAAAATTAGGCTCCGGCTACGTCACTCACCAGACGAAACGCGAAAGTATCATACTCCCACTTTACGCCGGTCTTCTGTGAGGTCGTAGTACCTACTGACCCGGACGAGCCAGCCAATTCGTGCAACAGCCGAGGCTGCTGCGTGGCCCTACCACCGTTAAATGATGATGAATGAGATATGATTTGATCAGAATAACAGAATAATAACTTTGGATTTTTTCCGACTGCTGAAGGAGAGTAATGTTTTGCGAGCGTATATATGTGTGTCTAATTATTTGGCACGTTCTACAGCCTATACCCTATGATGGATTTCAATATATGTATGAGGTGTCATTAGAGTTATTGCAGTTGTGGTAGTAACAAAGTACTTATATTATTTTCATGTAGTGCACGATGAAAAAGAGGAATAGTTAGTTGTTTCAATGTATTTTATGTTTCAAGTAATAATGTATGCTCGTTGAAAAGCATACTCAAAATCCTTTTGCATCCCTTTTTCTTTTCTAATTAAAACTGATCTTCAAATTTGAAAATAGTTGAAAATATAAAGTATAGAATAGGATGCATCGCTTGCAATGTAAGTCTTAAATATTTTACGTTAAGAAACACTTTAAATATCAACCAATAATATGAGTGCATCCAATAGGTACATGTTCATTGCGTTATTGCACATTATTATTATTTTTTATGGAATCGATAAAGATAGCGGGTTTAAACATCGATGTAAGTTTTGAATATTGTTGATAGAATTAACATATTTCATTACAATATTAGCATCCCACATCAATTTAAAAACTTAATTTTTTTATACTTATTAACTTCTATCAGTTAAATTTATGGATTGTTTTGTGAAATTGTGTTTATTTCTTCAACGTAATTACAAATCAGCGAGTCCTTTAAAACTATTGCTTTGTAAATATGTAATGTCCTTTTTTACTTCAGTTTGATTTTTATTATTTTATAACACCAACAACATAGTGTCTATAAAAAGCATAAAAGGCTAATCAAGAATAGTTAAGGCAATTACTTAATAAATTCAAATAAAACCAAAAACTTCAAATTCTAAAGATCGTAATCGACAGACCACATAAACTGTAATTAGATCTCTTCTAATGATAATATATTACCGTAAGTACCATAAATTTTAATCTTTTAGAAATATATTATTTGTACTTTGCAAGATAGTATCCTTAGTAATATTTTTAATTGCATATCAAATCCAAATGGAACAAAAGAACGAGTTTAAATTCCTTAAACTTTCACGATGGCAGAATCGAACTTTAAAATTGGAACTGATCCAGGAACGCGCGCCGCCTATGCAAACGGCACGCTCCCATTGGCCGGTCGAACGGTAAACTCCAAGTTAGACGCCCACAACTCGGATTACGCGCCGCATGACACAATAACAATCCGAGCGCGAGTGTGACCCATTTATTTTACCTACTGCCTCGGGAGACGATTCGTTGATTGTGAAATTGCTACGAGACCGTGCGTCCCTCCTACGCGTGCTGTGGATATGGTTTTGAATTTAAAATCACTTTATCATTGTACTCAAAGAAGCAAAAATAGGCATAACTTTATAATTGGTGAGCTTAAAGTCCTCGAGCAACGAAAACTTCGCTTATAATATTTTTTATAAAACATTTAAGCGATAAAACTACATAAGGTGCTATATGCATTTTAGCATACATTTGTAGATATTTGGGCGGTTAAGCACGGGAAGCGATGAATGGGTAATCTCGCTTGCCAGGGCGCCCCCTGCGCGAATATCGCCGGTAAAGGCCCATTTACACGGTGCCAGTTTCTTGCCTGTTGTATACAATTAAATTGAAGCAATAAATGAGTTGCATGGTCTAAACAAGAAATGGTCTAAACAATTATTGCGCGCAATTTATTGCATTCAATTATTGCTCTTGTATGTTCAAGAAAATGGCATCGTGTAAATGGGCCTTAAGTCGCGCGACATTCATTAACTATTAGTGATGGACCGTAGGTACTATCGATAGTGAAGGCTATCGAAAAATATACATAGATTTTCTTTATATTTTCGTAAGACCATGATAGTTTTTAGGATTCCGTACACAAAGGGTAAAACGGGACCCTATTAATTCGCTGTCTGTCTGTCCGTCTGTCACCAGTCTGTATCTAACGAAAAAATATTTAAGTGAGGCTCCCATACAACGAAAAAAGATTTTTTCCGTTTTTATAGATAATGGTACGGAACCCTTCTTGCTCTAGGTATGCTTTAGATACGGAACACTCAAAATTACAGTTGAGTCGACAAGATGCAAGTTTATTGAAGTACTTATGCAACCAAGTTGCACGTTAAATTCGTTATGCATACATTCATGTTATCTGTTCACTACCCCATGGAGAACTTGTACCTACGTATGTTTTAAGAGCATTGAAATGTCATGATTGTGTAAAACTAGGAAACATTGTACCGTGAAAATATTTCTTATTGATGTTAATTTAAGAGATATTATAGGTACAAATTGGCTGATTGTCCTCAGTTCCGATTATTAAAAACAATTATTATACCTACTCACGCGAAATCGCCATATCGCCGTTTTATAAGATAGGTACAAAAGGCAATGAGATCTTCTTATTTTGTATTAAAGTGCTAGTTCATGCCCATGGCTACGCTCGCATGGATTTGGAATTAAGGCTTCATCTGTCCCGCAGAAAACATGTTTTTTTACTTGATTTTTTGAATATTGTAATATGATTCTTTATTAAAATCGTAAATTTTCGTTTTTATCAGGAATTTAATTTTATCACCATAGAGAATTAAATCACAAATATTTTATTAAACATAGAAAACAAACATATATTTTACTACAAACTACATCAAGATAGCAAGTTTTAGATAATATCTTATGCTGTACAACCTATAATATAGGCCCTATATTTTAAATATTTTCAAACACGGAAACAGTTCGAAATTTTTCTTGTTTTTTGTAACGTTTAAATATTTATTTCATTTTAAGTAATTCAATTCATTCATAATAAAAGTATAAATTGGTACAACTAAATTCCTGTTTTGCCAGGTGCCCAATGGTGAAAGGAAAATTTTGAAATATGCACGTCAAGGAAATTTAAAAAATATACACTTCGAAGGTTTGTTTAAGGCCATACCTACATACTATACAGCGTGTCGTTACCATCGCGACAATAAATGAACACACATATAGGGGATAACTTTTTAAAGTTTTATTAAACATTTAAATTCTTTAAACATCAATATTTACAGAGTTATTAAATTTTCCAAAACAAAGAATTTTAGAACAGCCCTTACCTATAAAAGCGTAACGTAAAGTTCCTTTGTAAAGGTCACAAAGCATATGAATGGGTTGAATGAATTTAAAAGAGACAGAACATACTGTTAGAAGGAGAGGCTTGTAATGCGACGCTGTGGCGCGAGTTGTATAGGATGTTACAAATTTTGTTTCTTTTTTACTTAATTAGTTTGTTTGAAAAATATTGGATTTTGTTTAACGTTAATTTTTTTTATGATTATTGGCAAGTAGCGTTAGACGTGTGTTCATTTATTGTCGCGATGGTAACGACACGCTGTATAAGAAGCCTTTCCCCAGTATAGAGCTTAATTATTTAATCAGATAAGTATCTGTGAAGTGAAGTCACTTCAGTATGTAAAGTTTTAAAATTCTAATCAATAAAATACACTTTAAACCTTTTCACCTTGAATGAAACCTTGTTTCATTCCAAATTATTGTATTTGCGAGGTCAAAATCATGAAGATTTTAAAAATATAAATTCTTACTTCAGTCAAGTTTCCTGCGAATAACCATAACCATCGTAGCATTTAATGTAGGTACAGGTAAAAATCAACCTGTTTCTGTATCCAAATGGCCCTCTATAAACGACAACACCTGTTTTCTATTCATTGGCTTGTTCCCGCGCTCTGTGCGAAAGAGACACACAAGGAAATGAATTGGATAAAGAGAGACGGAACATAATGCCTTGTGTAATAGCGGGTCGGGTAAACGTTAAATGTCAATTACAACAGTCATTCTGGATATGGTTCATCAAATTATACCTAACTTGTTAACTAATTTTGGTTATGGCATAATAAACTTCATTTGTATTTTGCTACAGATTTGAAAGTCGGTTGTTTTTGCTTTTTACTCATGCATGTAGTTCTCAGAATTCTACTAAGAGAATCTATAAAATAAAGAAAAAGGGATTATTATTGCGTAAAGGTCGATAAATGTGACCTATTAATGTATTATGTAATTGCCATCTCAAACAAAAAAAGCTTTAGTAAATTTTGTTTTAAAAACATGAAATTCTTTTTATAAACTCTATAAGCTTAGTATTTTCATTACATCTGAAGATTTTTCGCCATAACGAATATTTTAAAAATGTGTGTAATTATAGACTATGAGTTCTGTCTTGAAAACGGCACGTAACATCAACGACGTTTACGGAGAGTACTTTACAAATGAACCCACAACCCGTTATTACTTTGCACGGTTCAGTTCTGAAATTATGACTTGAAAAATTAACCTCGTGGTCGTCCGGACACTGGTCAACAATGATTAATTAAAGGCGATTGTGGAAGTTGATGGTACACAATCTACAAACGTACTAGCATCAATTTTTGATGTTAGCATCAGAACAATATTGGTCTATTTGCCATAAATTGGCAATGTAAAAAAGCTTAGTAAAAAGCCTAATAAATAGTAGAATAGAAATACAATTTATATAATAAATATTAATTATATATAATAAACATAAATTATATATAATAAATATAAGTTATATAATAAATATAAATTATATAATATAATCCTGGTTCAGCTCCAAAGCAATGCCCTAAACGAAAATTAGCCACTAGAATGATGATGGTCACTGGTGCTCTAGTGCCGGTGTAATTCATCACAACTTTTTTCAAAACGGCATGAACATTACTGCAGATATGTACTCTGAAGAACTGAAAATAACGATGGAGAAGCTACCTGCGACCAGCTTTGTTCAATCTGTCGTCTACGCAGCTCCTTCACGACTACGCGCGACCCCATACTGCACAAGAGACAGTCTCCAAGTTGCAAGAGTTGAGGTTGGAAGCTCTCCCTCATCCGCCATACTCACCAGACCTTGCACCTACCGACTAATAATTTAAAAAAAAATGTTCTATTTTTAAGCGGGAAAAAAGTTCGTGCAACAAACGGACACTATTGCGTGGCCCTACCAAAGTAATGTAAAATGTAAGGGCGCAAACGAGCATGTTTCACCTGATTTATAGTGATTATTGTCGCCCATGGACATCTTCCACAGTTGTGGTTGTAATTCAGATCTTCTGCAAGCCATTTATTTAAATGGCTAGCAAAGTGTCGCCCCCAATTACCTCAATCAGCAAACCAAATGTCATGTGATCAGGGCCGGATTTAGAGGTCTGGCGGCCCCGGGGCAGCAAAGAAGTGGAGGCCCCTTGGCCACAAATTATTTTACAAATAAAATGAACAATTTTTTTCAGTCGAATTTTCCAATAAATATTTTATTGTGAAAGCAAGTACAGATTGTTTGCCGTCCACTGCTGAACGTAAGCCTCCCCCAAAATGCGCAAATTATCCCGGTCCTGGGCAGCCCGCATCCATGCGTTGCCCGCCACCTTTCTTAAGTCGTCAGTCCATCGTGCTGCGGGGCCCCATACTACATTTTCCTAGCCGTGGTGTCAACTCTAACACGTGTCGGCCCCGGCTACCTTCAGTACGTCTGGAGACATGGCCAGCCCACTTCCATTTCAGCGTTCTAATTCTGCGCGCAATGTCGGTAACTTTAGTTCTCTGGCTAATGACTTCGTTTCGTATCTTGTCTAACAGAGAAACTCCAAGTGTTGGCCTCTTTCTCAAAGTGAAAATGAAATGAAAATATGTTTATTGACAAACAGAATTACACTTAAGTACATTGTGCGTGGTGCCACACACTAGGCAAAGCCTGTCCTGTGGTCGCCGTCTATTGCGATTGCCATCTATTTTACATATTTGCCAGTCGAAAGATCGCTTCATACTAAAACTTTAATAAATATTACTAAAACTTTTAATTTTAACATAATTTTACATTAACTAATATTTGCAAAAAATAAGAAGTAAGTAAATAGAGGTTGCAGCTTAAAACAATTATATATATATATATACATACATAAACATATATATATATATATATATATATATATATATATATATATATATATATAAACATATACATATATATATACATATACATAAATAAGGGTATATATGTGATTATATATAAATACAAAAATAAAATCATCAAAGTATATGGTCGTGTCGTGTATAACGTTGTGTCGGCCTAGTTGTATAGTTTGGCCAAGGTAGGTATTGTATTCCTGCACAACCTCAAGCATAGCGTCATTCACGACCACTGCTCTCGGGATCA